TTTTTTTAAATATTCAGTTTATGTCTGAGACCCTTCTAGATAATGGGGACACAAAGACATTCTTGAAGATCTCACAGTCTGGGGGTAAGTCAATGTGTAAATAAATGTAATTTACATTATTGATTTCTAAAAAACAAACTTCATTGTTGCCTACCGAAGTAGACGTTTCTTTGTAAGGGATGTAATAAAGCCTCTCTGTAACAGTAATGTTGAGTCACTGGATGACTTGGAGCCTTCCTTTTCTCTCTGAGTCTACATTATTTTCTCTACCCAACTGTCTTGTCATCTCTCAGTTCCCCTACTGAAATCCTACATACCCTTCTAGGCCCACAATCAATAATACTGCATAAATTAAACCTTCCCGATCCCTCAAATCACCGCTTTCTCTTATTAACTGGGTCAGTCTGGGAAAGTAGCAAAAACAATGTATCATGTGGCTTCATATCTGACTTCAGGTAGCTTTATTTCATGAAGAATAAAATAACACAAAGATTTAAGCAAGTTATATTCTCATCACCTTGGTTTTGGTTCTATTTGGACCATGAACCAAGATAATGCAAAAATTTTAAAAATAGATATGAAAAGCACTAAAACACATTCCTCTCAAATAAATTAAATTACCTGTGCTTACAGCAATGCTTACACTGTTCTTCATGTGCAAACCCGGGGAATGCTGCGCTTCCATGGAAACCAACTCCGCCTGCCTTGGAGCTTGCACTGTGTCCTCAACAGCGGTGCTCTTAGGGGAACAGGGCTGCAGAGACTGTGCTTCCAATAAACGCTGAATCTGCAGCAATTAAATTATATTTTAAACTGATAAGTAACCAACAAAATTGGCAAGAGTTTAAAAATGAACCACAAAGTGCCCTAGTTATAAATAACTAATGGTTAATTATTCTCTCACATTTCAACTATATAACGTAGGTATGTGGAAGGGGATCAATAAGGAAGGAAAAAAGGACCCGATACAGAAAGATTAAACTGCAAGGATGTAAAAATAATCTTGAGATTAAGAACTATGTCATAAGGAATAAAGGAAGCACTTCAGTTTAATAAAATGAATGGAACAAGTAAAGATATAAGAAGGCAGTTCCAGAACTATTCTCTAAGCATAAAAGGGTAGTATACATAAAGAGTAAACCCACTAGAACTATCAGAATCCACTCTGCAGTTGCTTTATTTAGTGTATGAATTATGGGGTGAAAAAAAGTGTGTGTGTGTATATATATATATATATATTATATAAAATGTATATAAAGATTTAGTAAAATATGGATTTCATAAGAGGCAAAAAAAATAAAGGAAAATTCAGCTATTTTGTAGGTTACGATATGTATAAGACCAAAAAGGCTTTTCCTTTCTAGTCCTGATTATACTCCTAATTAGCAATGTGTTATTGAATAAATTAAATTTTTCATCTCTAATCCTTATTTCACTTACCTGTAAAACAAGAGGGACTAGAATTTAGTTTCCAAGGTGCCTTCTAATTCTGACATTCTACAATTCTACTTCATAAAAAAATGACTAAAGAACTGCCAGTTATTATTAAGAAACCACATTAACACCAAGAATTGCTCAAAATGAAGAAAGCCTCAACCAAACCTGAGCTTGAAGTAGTCTCAGCTGTTTGTCTTGTTGTGTGAGGAATCGATAAGCATCTGGAGAGAGTCCCATCATTCCCTCCTCTGACCCAGTCTTGGGTGTGGGCACGCACAATGCACAAGGCCGGGGGTGACATGAGTCCGTATGTGAAGGCAATCTTGCAACAGGTGGGGGATCTACATTGCCCTGAGGTCTCAAAGCTATAGGACTACTTGAGGAGTAGAATGCATTATGGCATAGAGCTGGACATCTGTTTGAGTGAAATAATGAATGTTTTTGAAGAGCTTCAGACTGGAGGTCTTGAATGGATCCCACAGTGTTCATTCCTTGCCAAGAATGTATTGGAGTACACTGAATAGGTCCATGATGCTGACAACAACTGCAAATGTTTGTGGGATAGTAAGATGGTGGAGGGGGAGTAGGTATCTGGAATTCCATTGGTCTTCCTGAATTTTGGGGTGAAAAAATAAAATCATGTGGGTGGGACTGTGGGCCAAGAGAAGACGGCTTGGAATTAATTGTGGAGGACCTTATAGGATACTCTTCTTTGTGTACATTTCCAGCAGAAATTGTTTGAAACTTGTGAGATGTATCAGGAGATGGCCCATTCAGAGAAGATGGTTTAGCACTGTTCTTTCTATGGGAGTTCCCTTTCTTACAGGCAGATGACTGGCTAACTCTGCAGTGTCTCAAAGGAGCAGTGCCCTGGTTCAACTGATTTGGTAGTCTTCTCAAGCAAGGTTCTCCTGCTTCAGTTTCTGGGCTGTGTTTCCCATCATAAAGCTGAGGTGGTAATGGCTCCAAGCGTTCACAGTGATTACTCAACAAAGGGTTTTCATTATTCACCATTTCCAATGGATTGGGCAGAGGG